CTGGTTCGCGAAACAGTTTTTCACCTACAAATTCCTTTGGGGGTCTCGTGCGCGGGGTTTAGGCACATATGAGGGAAGATCTTAGAACGGGAGGATGACACACGGGGTAGGAGCATATATCCGAAGTTTCAGCCCCCCAACTTTCCTGGTTGCCGAGTTGAGAGTGGGTGACAAAATGCACTAGCTTTCCGAACACACACACAGCCTCTCGTTTTTGCTGGCTGTAGCAGCGCTATAACGCTGCACAGCAAAAACGCATAAAAATTAATAATCAAGAAATGGCACATGCACTTTATTCCTTTTTAGCGCGTTTGTCTCAAGCATGCTAGTCGACAAAGGCAGTATCTTTAATTCGGAACAAAAAAGTGCAGTGTCTTGCTGCATTTCAGTAGTGTACTTGTGTTTGCGCACTGTTAGCTTCGATCTGCCATTTTTAATTCTGAAGCAAAGATTCCTGTAGCGAAAATTGCGAATTACCACGGAAGAGGAGGAGAAATGGGAAGGGGCTCGCCAACCCCTTCTATCCAATCTAAGTGCAAAATGTACTTTGTAATTACCACGTGAAGTGTTATAGTTTTGTAACTTTTCACTCAGATTCAGTACCATTCCATAAAGGCGATGGTGGCGAGGCACAGGTGTATTAAGTTAGTTTAATTGTAAGGTATTCTGAATTTCTAGCTTTTTAAGCATTAGTGATTCGCGACAGCTGTAATCATGTATTTTTAGTTTAATAGCTCAACTCTGAGGTGGAGAAAAAGCAGGTAAAAGTTTGACCCGCAGGACAATACATAATTATTGTTGGTTTTTCAAAAGGCTGAAGTGACTTGTCTGAAGAAAAAAATTTTGTAACAGCTCTAAATCTTTAAAAAAGTGGCGCCGTAATCGGCCTCTGGTTTTGTATAGCTTTTAACACACAACTTGTTGCTGCTGTGGCCTTTTCCGCTTGCTTCAGTTATTACGTGGCATTCAAATAGTAACAAAAAATTTGCATCCGGTCGGGAATCTCGAAGCGGCATGTAGGAGAAAACATTTTAGATCGCAAGGTACGCTATCTGATTTGTTGAGGAATCCGAAACCGTGGTCAAAATTGAAAAGCGGACGTGAAACATTTAGACGAATGGCAAAGTGGCTGCAGGAACCGGAATTGCAAAGGATGGCAGCACTTCGACTTGCGGGTATGAGGTGTTTGTTTCATCTTCACTGCGATACTCCTTAAAACTTTGATTTTCTCAACAGCAATTATGCAACGAGAGGTAAACTTCCTGAATGAATTCGTGCCAGAGGATGAAGATGGCTGGGCTAGCCTCTGCAAAGGATGCCTTTTTTCGGCTTTTTTCGACTAGGCGTAGTGATTATTGGGGCAGTATCAACCAGGCTGAAACGCACCAGGCCGGCCCGTGCGATTATGCGTTTTTGCACAGGACTTGAAGTACTCAGGTCATTA